AAGTGCCAGATTTTGATCGGCAACCCCCTTTAAAAATTACACCATTCGATTCAGCGCAAAATTCTGCATCCAACACAACCATATAGGCGAATCCGGGCTGGAAAAACTCGAATCTTGTGCTAACTTCCCTAACGTCAGGACTGGACCGGTAAATGTTTTTAACCGGCCGGACAGGACCGGTTTATAAATATCTTACCGGTTCCAGTCCTGAGCAGTGCTCTGTAGCATTTCCATGACTATAATTTATTGCTTGATAGACAAATGGAAATATACAGCTAATGTTATCAACAATGGAACATGATATATTTACGAGTTATCAGATTGTTGTAGATAGTCGTGACTCATGACTCGTGAGTCGTCATATGTTTAGAATGCTGCGAAATTACAACGTGGTCTAACGCTGAAATATCTTGATATTGACACATTGTTATCCTTCAAATATATTTCAAGTTCATAAAAATTTCATCATCGCATCCTTTACATAGTAAGCACTCGTGGAAATGTGTATTATTTCATTTTCTTGATATTTATGTAAAATCGGCTGATGATAGTATATGTTGCTATTCAATAGTGCTTACAATCGATTTATGAAACATTTACAACTAGAGTAACTAAAATAAGTAGGACATCTATGGTATTTCATAGATAGATTCCTTCAGGTTGGACAGGAATTGTATCCTTCTATGAGAACTGTAACACACGTGACCATTGTAAAAAATTGCCATGTATCTAACAAGACATGTTATCCGTCTTAAGTCTAATTCAGACGCGAAATACATCTTGTTTTTAGACATGTAGTGACTACAGACAGCAAAAGCGTCTTAAGTTCCTCTTTCTCGTAAAGTACACACTAAATTAAAATGCGTCGGCTGTATGTGTCGTAAATTTTTGTGTCGCACTTGAATGAAAAAAATGTGTCGTATCTTTTTCGCTTTCTGTCAGTCGACTAGTCGTTCACCGTTTTGTTATGAACATACAGCGACATATAAGCAACATCATTGAACGCATAGAAGATAAGTTCTCGAAATAAAATTTTCTTTGAATTTAATTCTTGGTTACTTTATAATCAAGGAATTGCCATCCCGATCCATGATCCGGGAAGGACTACACTGGATAGTCTGATAGGAATCGGACCAATTCCAAATCAGCCAGATCTTAGGATCTGATCAGATTGAATTTTCAAAAAATAAAGAGATATATGTAATTAAATTAAAAAATATCGAAATATGCGTTTCAAAAACAACCAATGAAAATGTGTCGGATGTGTCGTGAAAAATGCGTCGTGGTCTTGCTGGGCAGAATGTGTCGCAACGAGCACCTCATGTCGTACTCGAATGTGTCGTGCTTTGTGTCGTAGTTTACGACACATCCGACACATTTTTACTTAGTGTGT